GTGACCCTGCTATGGCAGAGGGTTGGAATAGCTGGATTTCAGCTTTCCAATCCAAACCATTCCATGATTTCCAGGCAGGATTTCCAGAATTTCAACTTTCCAATCCAAACCAGGCAGGATTTCTGGAACAGTTGAATTTCAGCTTTCCAATCCAAAGCATTCCAGGATTTCCAGGCAGGATTTCCAGAATTTCAGCTTTCCAATCCAAACCAGGCAGGATTTCTGGAACAGTTGAATTTCAGCTTTCCAATCCAAACCAGGCAGGATTTCTGGAACAGTTGAATTTCAGCTTTCCAATCCAAACCAGGCAGGATTTCTGGAACAGTTGAATTTCAGCTTTCCAATCCAAACCAGGCAGGATTTCTGGAACAGTTGAATTTCAGCTTTCCAATCCAAACCAGGCAGGATTTCTGGAACAGTTGAATTTCAGCTTTCCAATCCAAACCAGGCAGGATTTCTGGAACAGTTGAATTTCAGCTTTCCAATCCAAACCAGGCAGGATTTCTGGAACAGTTGAATTTCAGCTTTCCAATCCAAATCATGCCATGATTTCCAGGCAGGATTTTCAGGCAGGAAGAACAACCCCAATCCAATGGTAAAATTCCATAACCAGCAGCAGGATTGGCACCAATCCTGTCCCTCCTTAATCCACTTTTTAATTTTCCATGGGCAGTGGATTTGCTGCTGCCAGCATCCAGGAGATAAATCTTCAGGAATCCCCCGGGGAAGGAGCACATCTGGATTTGTGGGTCCAGCCGAACTGAATTCCATTGCCACAGGACAGGCAGCGAAATGTGGTGTGGCTAATTGAGGTTAATTAATCCCGATCTTCCACCCACCCAGCACCACAGACACAGCAGCAGCAACCACATCGTTCACTGATGGTTTTAAATGAACTTTCTGTGAACTCAGAGGAGGGCCTGATGTGGAAATCCCACGTTTGAAGAAAATCCTACGTCTAAACTAAAGCCACGAGTGAAACAAGAGGGCCAGGGGGCCCTGGCAGATGTCACAGGGAGACCTCACCCAGCCACGGACAGGAACACTGAGGAAATGAAGTGAAATTTGATGTTTAATGCCATTTTTGCACACAAATTGCACCAAAATTCACCTCCAGACCAGGCTGTTGTTTCTATCGGAACTGAGAGAAAGGCTTGAAGTGGAAATCCCATGTTTGAAGAAAATCCTACATAATAAAGACCTAAACTGAAGCCAAGAGTGAAACAAGAGCCCCAAGTGTGTCTGAATCCATGGAAGGTGTCACAGGGAGACCTCACCCAGCCACGGACAGGAACACTGAGGAAATGAAGTGAAATTTGATGTTTAATGCCATTTTTGCACACAAATTGCACCAAAATTCACCTCCAGACCAGGCTGTCGTTTCCATCTGAGTTCCCAGAAGTGAAATGAGGTGAAATTTGATGTTTAATGCCATTTTTGCACACAAATTGCACCAAAATTCACCTCCAGACCAGGCTGTCGTTTCCATCTGAGTTCCCAGAAGTGAAATGAGGTGAAATTTGATGTTTAATGCCATTTTTGTACACAAATTACAGCCAAAATTCACCTCTAGACCAGGCTCTTGTACCCAGACCTTGATTTGTTGGCCACAGCCACGAGTGAGAGCAAAAATGTGAATTATTTAAGGGTTATCAGAGGCTGGAGTGTTCTGAGGAATTCAGGAATTAGTCCTGGCAAACACCTGGGCCCAGGAGAAGGGGTGAGGTGAGCACTTGTTCTTTCTGTTTTGTGAGGTTTCACAGAGGTCAAACCAACCCAAGGCTCCTTTTCCAGTGATGCCTTTTTGTGCTGCCTAAAAACAGAGGCCAGACAAAATTAAGAGAATAAAAAGCAGTTCTATTTATTGAAGGGCCTTCAGGTACATTTAGGGCAGATGAAGCCCCCCCAAAAAATGGACAACAAATCACAGGTTTTCATATTTTTATGTTTGGTTCATCTGCATATTGGGGGTGAATCTCCCAATTATAGCTTCAGGTAATGAAGGAATTTACCCCAAATTTTCTTGCCCCCCCAACTCATTTTTGTTTAACTTTTTTTTGGGTCCTGAGGCAGTGAGGTGTCCATGATTCCCAGGCCTAGAGAGGAATTGTTGTGTCTGAAAATAAAATGTGAAGACAGCAGCTCACACTGTACATGGAATTTAGAGTTCTGCACTACAGAACTGCAAATATATTAAAAATACAGAAGTTAAAATCCAAAGGCATCACCGGCAGGGATGGAAGTGAGCAGCTCCTGCCTGCACAAGGATTAGAAATCCCCCTCCTCTCCAGGGCTGAGAGTCATCACTTTTTTTCATTCCAGCATGGTGTGTGGCCTGGAAGCTGCCTGGGTTTTGCCATTCAAAACAGATCTCAGACTTGCATGAGGGGAATTTTTCTCTCCAGGGATTTTTCTCTTCCTCTCCTTGCTTCACCAGTGAGTTGGGTGCCTGTTTGTGCTGGTTTGAGGTTCTTGCCCATCCAGATATTGCAGTTCAGTGTTTTAGAAAGGAGTTTTAAACACAGATTACAGGCATTGGGAACATCTGCAGCCTTTGTGTTTTACCATTTTCTTGGTTTATTTTTGTCCCTGGAACTGTTATTTCCTCTCAGCTGTTATTTACACATCTTTCCAGGCTGAACTGGATGGTTTGGGATTGCCTGGAACGCCCGTGCTGGCAGGATTTGGCTTGGAAGGGACCTTAAAAATCACTCAGTTCCCACCCCTGCCACCATCCCAGGGTGCTCCAGCCTGGCCCTGGACACTTCAGGGATCCAGGGGCAGCTTCTCTGGGAATTCCATTCCAAGGAAGCCATTCCCTGTGAGCTGTCACTCTGTCCCTTGTCCCCAGTCCCTCTTCAGCTCTCCTGGAGCTCCTTTAGGCCCTGGAAGGGCTCTGAGGTCTCTCTGGAGCTTCTCTTCTCCAGGTTTTTCACATTCCCAGCTCTCCCAGCCCTTGGAGCATCTCTTGTGGCCCCTGCTTTATGTGTTTTCTTAGCTGAAATCAACACAATATTATTATTATCTTTATTATTATGATTTTCTTCCATCCAGCTGAGTTGCAGGCAGCACAGCTGGAGAGCTGAGGAGCAGCCAAGGCAGAGCACAGGGGTCCAGAGGGGTTTGGTGTTTGCACAACATCCCAGCTCCCATCCCATCAGCACATCCCAGGTCCCCAACAGCACTTCCAAGGTCCCCATGAGCAGGTCCCAGTCCCCATGAGCAGGTCCCAGTCCCCATGAGCAGATCCCAGTCCCCATGAGCACATCCAAGGTTCCCATGAGCAGATCCCAGTTCCCATGAGCAGGTCCCAGTCCCACATCCAAGGTCCCCATGAGCACATCCAAGGTTCCCATGAGCAGATCCCAGTCCCACATCCAAGGTCCCCATGAGCACATCCAGGGTTCCCATGAGCAGATCCAAGGTCCCCAACAGCACATCCAAGATCCCCATGAGCAGATCCCAGTTCCCATGAGCAGGTCCCAGTCCCCACGAGCACATCCAAGGTTCTCATGAGCAGATCCCAGTTCCCCTGAGCAGGTCCCAGTCCCCACGAGCACATCCAAGGTTCTCATGAGCAGATCCCAGTTCCCCTGAGCAGGTCCCAGTCCCCACGAGCACATCCAAGGTTCTCATGAGCAGATCCCAGTTCCCCTGAGCAGGTCCCAGTCCCCACGAGCACATCCAAGGTTCTCATGAGCAGATCCCAGTTCCCCTGAGCAGGTCCCAGTCCCCACGAGCACATCCAAGGTTCTCATGAGCAGATCCCAGTTCCCCTGAGCAGGTCCCAGTCCCCACGAGCACATCCAAGGTTCTCATGAGCAGATCCCAGTTCCCCTGAGCAGGTCCCAGTCCCCACGAGCACATCCAAGGTTCTCATGAGCAGATCCCAGTTCCCCTGAGCAGGTCCCAGTCCCCACGAGCACATCCAAGGTTCTCATGAGCAGATCCCAGTTCCCCTGAGCAGGTCCCAGTCCCCACGAGCACATCCAAGGTTCTCATGAGCAGATCCCAGTTCCCCTGAGCAGGTCCCAGTCCCCACGAGCACATCCAAGGTTCTCATGAGCAGATCCCAGTTCCCCTGAGCAGGTCCCAGTCCCCACGAGCACATCCAAGGTTCTCATGAGCAGATCCCAGTTCCCCTGAGCAGGTCCCAGTCCCCACGAGCACATCCAAGGTTCTCATGAGCAGATCCCAGTTCCCCTGAGCAGGTCCCAGTCCCCACGAGCACATCCAAGGTTCTCATGAGCAGATCCCAGTTCCCCTGAGCAGGTCCCAGTCCCCACGAGCACATCCAAGGTTCTCATGAGCAGATCCCAGTTCCCCTGAGCAGGTCCCAGTCCCCATGAGCAGATCCGAGTTCGCATGAGGAGATCCCAGTTCCCATGAGCAGATCCAAGGTTCCCATGAGCAGATCCAAGGTTCCCATGAGCAGATCCAAGGTTCCCATGAGCAGGTCCCAGTCCCCATGAGCACATCCAAGGTTCCCATGAGCAGGTCCCAGTTCCCATGAGCAGATCCAAGGCCCCCATGAGCAGACCCAAGGTTCCCATGAGCAGTTCCCAGTTCCCATGAGCAGCCATCCCCGGTCCCAATCAGTCTATTCCCGGTCCCCATCAACCCATCCCTGCTCCTCAGAAGCCCATCCCCGGTCCCCATGACCACATCCCCGTCCCCACGAGCCTATCCCGGTCCCCACGATCCCATCCCGTTCCTCGCCAGCCCGTCCCGGTGCCCAGCCCGCCCCGCTCTCTCCCGCTCCGCGGCCGTGCCGTGCCGTGCCGTGCCGTGCCGAGCCGAGCCGTGCCGAGTCGAGCCGTGCCGGAGGGACCCCAGACCAGTCTCGGCCCCGGCGCCGGGCGGGGCTCGGGGGCGGTGCCGCGCGGGCGGGGGCGGCGGTGACGTCAGGCGCTGTCCGCGGTGCTGAGGGAAGATGGCGGCGCGCTAGAGCCGGGCGGCGGCCAGGGCCCCCCGCGCCCCCCGGCACCCACCCCGCCGCCATGTCGCTGCTCTGCGTCGGAGGTACCGGGGCACGGGGCTCGGGGCGCGGGTCGGGCGGGGGGCGCGTCCCGCGGAGAGCTGGGCTGGGAGAGAGCTGGGCTGGGAGAGAGCTGGGCTGGGACAGCAGGGCTGGGAGAGCTGGGCTGGGAGAGCTGGGCTGGGACAGCAGGGCTGGGAGAGCTGGGCTGGGAGAGAGCAGGGCTGGGAGAGCTGGGCTGGGACAGCAGGGCTGGGACAGCAGGGCTGGGGGATGGAGATTTGGGACAGAGCTTGGAGAGAGCAGGGCTGGGAGAGCAGGGCTGGGAGAGAGCAGGGCTGGGACAGCAGGGCTGGGAGAGAGCAGGGCTGGGAGAGCTGGGCTGGGAGAGCAGGGCTGGGGGATGGAGCTTGGGGACAGAGCCTGGGGACAGAGCTTGGAGAGAGCAGGGCTGGGGGATGGAGCTTGGGGACAGAGCCTGGGGACAGAGCTTGGAGAGAGCGGGGCTGGGGGATGGAGATTGGGGACAGAGCCTGGGGATAGAGCTTGGGGACAGAGCTTGGAGAGAGCAGGGCTGGGAGAGCAGGGCTGGGGGATGGAGTTTGGAGAGGGCAGAGTTTGGGGATAGAACTTGTGGACAGAGTTTGAAGAGAGCAGAGTTTGGGGATAGAGCTTGGGGACAGAGCCTTGGAGAGAGTAGGGCTGGGGGATGGAGATTGGGGACAGAGCTTGGAGAGAGCAGGGTTTGGGGATAGAGCTTGGAGAGGGCAGGGTTTGGAATGACAGGATTTTGAGAGAGCAGAGTTTGGGCAGGAACAGATGAGAACAGTGTTTGGGGAGCAGAGTTTAGGCAGGGGAGAGTTTGGGGATGGATGGATGAGAGCAGAACTTGGGGGAGCAGAATCTGGGAGAGCAGAGTTTGGGGAGGGAGCAATGAGAGCGGAGTTTGAGATGGCAGAGTTTGGGACAGCAGAATTTAGAATTTAGGGAGAGCAGTGTCTGGGAGAGCAGAGTTTGGGATGACAGAATTTGGAGAGGGCAGAGTTTGGTGAGGGATGGATGAGAACAGTGTCCAGGTGAGGAATTAACCCCTTGCTGGGCAGGTGAGAGCAGGCAGGGAGCTGGACCTTGCTGTGCACAGAAAAAGGGATGGTTCAGGCAGGAAATGCATAAAACCAACAAGGCAAAAAGACAGGAAAGGGCAGAGAAGAAGGGAGGTTTCTCCCAGGCTGGGGCAGGAGGACAGAGCAGGAAGCTCATCACAAACTCTTTGTGGCCTTTTAATCAATTTATGACGTTCACAAGTCCTGGCCTCCAACTGGCAACCAGCTCCTGACCCTAAAATAATTCTATCTCAAACTAATTTAATTTATCTGCTTTATTCTCCTGTCAGCCTCAGTCTCAAGGGCCAGTCCAGAGAGGAACATTTGAAGGATTATTTTATTTCCAACATCCCTTCTTGAAAATAACCACTTTTAATTTTAATAATTTAAATTTTAATAAGTTCAATAACCAATAAGGCACTTTCCCTTCCCAATCCTCAGTGTTTGTTCCCTGCAAGATCCAGGAAGTCCCCCAGGAAGTCCTGGATTTGTTGGTGGGCTCTGTCAATTCCCTAAATGTTGCCACACATCAATAAATCATATTTGTTTTGCTCTGCAGTGGGGTTATGGAGACCAAGAGTGATCAGGCCCTGGTTGGAGTCCAGAATTATCTGGAGGTAGGTCCTGTTGTCATGAAAATGAAGCTTTTAGGGTCACATTTTTCAGCTCCAGAAATTACCAGGGCTGAATATTATTTTGAGGTGGACACTCAGTAAAACTGGCAGAGTGCTAAACACTGCAAAGTTCAAAACCAAATACCTAAAATCATGTCATGATACAGATTCTGACCTTAAAAAGACGTGAACCCTTCAGTGAGACTTCATTGAGCCCAGAGCTGGCTCTGAGAGCCCCTCAGCTGCTGCCCCACCTGAGCTTTGTTAACACTTGTGGCTTGTCCTAAAGACTGCCTCAGTCCTGCTTCATGTCCAGTTCCTTCATGGATTTAGCAGCTGGATGCTGTTTTCTCCCAGGAGAGGATGTTCCTGACAGAGGTTTGCAGAACAAAGCCCAGCAGGATGTCCATTGTTCTGTGCTGCTTCCCATTTTTTTTATTTATTTTGGAGTTCTGTTATGCCAGGGGAAAAAAAAAAAAAAATATCCTGTTAATCCACTGCTCTCAGGGATTCCCTTGGACCTAGGAATGGTTTGAGGAGCCCAGGTGCTGTTTGGGCTGGCAGAGAGTGTGAATAGGAATGAAAAAAAGCCCAATTTTACACCCAGGAGTAGAAAATGGGTCACCTGAGCGTCGAAATGCAGTTGTGAATTTAAATTGTAAATTAATTACAAGCTGCTGTTGTGCTGCTGAGTCAGGAATCAAAAGGAAGGTGAATTATTTCTCTTGTCTTGGAAGCATCATGGAGTTCAAAATGAAAGTTGTGCCTGCTTGGAAGATAAGGGGATGTTGATTCCTGCGGGTCAGAGCACATTTTGTCACTCAGCTCCCATCTGTGGTCAGTCTGTCTGACCCAAATCCCAAACTGCAGCACTGTGGGATGCTCTGCTCTGCAGCCCTGGTGCTGTGGAGGACAGAGCTGTCCAGGAGCAGCCTTGGTGACACCCCAGGTGACAAGGGCAGGACATCCCCATGCTCTGTGGGGCTCAGATTTCCTGCTGCTCTCCAAAATGAACCCAAGGTGAACCAGAATGGTCCCAAAATGAACCCCAGAGGAACCAAAATGGTCATCCAAAAAATGGATGATCGGGCACAAAATTACAAGTTTTGGTCCATGTGCAGATTGCAGTTCATTGTCCAATTCCAGCTCCAGCCCCTGCAGTCCCATCCTTGTTTTTCTCTCTCCAGCCCACGGGGTTTGTGCTCTTGGGCTGAGATTTGGATCATTTGTCCTTGGTTCCCAGCTGGAGCAGGAATTGTTTTGTCTCTCTGCTCTGTGCAGAGAGCTCACCATCCCATAATATGAACCCAGACCCACACACTAAAGCAGCACAGAATGTGAAAAATAGAAAAGCTAAAACCTGAGGCATGAACTCAAAAGGAAAGTGTGAGGAATTATGGCTGGAATCAAGAGTTCTCAGGGTGTATTCATGTGGCTTTTTGCCTGAGACTGTGGCAGAGAAAGTGGCTAAATATCGTGCAGAGCCCAAAAAGGATTTTTTATCCCATTTATCTCATCCTCTGAGCCATGCAGGGCCCCAGGCTCTGGATGTGGGGGTGAGCCCAGCAGTTGTTCCGCATTATCCCAGCGATGTCTGAGCAGGCACATGGGTAGGGTGGATGATTAGAGGAGAAAAGAAGAGGAGAAAAAGACAAACATGAGCTTATTTGGTGTTGCCTTTTCCCCAGTATCAGCACTTTGTGGGCCAGCTCGGTGCTTTCATGTGGTGGTATTGATGCTGGGCACTGCTGTGTCTATTGGAACCACATGGGAAGCCTTAAAGCAGCTTTAATAGAAAACTTCTGGGGCCTGCAGGAATTTCTCTTCCTTCCTCCTTTTCTCTGCAGCCTTGAACTTCACTGCTTTCCCCAAAGCCAGGAAGGCGAGCGAAGGGAAGGGCAAAATTAAAGCTCTAATGAGATCCTTATTGTGTTCTGAGGATGTTCAGCCATTTGTTTGCAAGCAAATAACCTGGGAGGTGCAGACTTGGTGTTCCAGCAGCTGTTTTTTGGAAATTGGAGTGGGCTGGTTGGTTTTGTGTCACTTTGGGCTGGGGCTGAGCAGATCTGTGTCACTGCAAAGCTTTTTTAGTCCTTGCTGCTGCTCTGTGACAGAGCCCTGCGGCTGCCCAGAGGAAATGGAGCCTTGGTTTAGTCCAGAGATACTTGTAGGAGCTTTTAATCTTTCTTTGAGGGGGGTGAGCTTTGCTGACAACATTTTATTTCTTGGAGACAAGTCTTGGAGCACTCAGAATCCCAATTTGGGCCCAAAGCAAGCTCAAGGCCTTGTTTCCCCTCATGGCAAGGTTGGAGCTCTGTCATTTGTCTCCCTCCAGTTCTTTGTGGAAACTTTTCACATCCAGGACTTCATGCTTTGTGTCTTGTAGGAGCTTTTCATCCCTTTTTGAGGGGGTGAGCTTTGCTGACAACATTTGATTTCTTGGAGACAAGTCTTGGAGCACCAGTTTGGGCCCAAAGCAAACTCAAGGCCTTGTTTCCCCACATCCAGGGCTTGGAGCTCTGTCGTTTGACTCCCTCCAGTTATTCTTTGGAACTTTCAACATCCAGGACTTCATGCTCTGTCTCTTGTAAGAGCTTTTCATCCCTTTTTGAGGGGGTGAGCTTTGCTGACAACATTTGATTTCTTGGAGACAAGTCTTGGAGCACCAGTTTGGGCCCAAAGCAAACTCCAGGCCTCGTTTCCCCTCACGGGGAGGTTGCAGATCTGTGATTTCTCTCCCTCCAGTTATTCCTTGGAACTTTCAACATCCAGGATGTCATGCTATGTCTCCTGTAGAAGCTTTTCATGTCTTTTTGAGGGGGGTGAGCTTTGCTGACAACATTTTAGTTCTTGGAAATAAGTCTTAGAGCACCAGTTTGGGCCCAAAGCAAACTCAAGGCCTTGTTTCCCCACATCCAGGGCTTGGAGCTCTGTCATTTGACTCCCTCCAGTTATTCTTTGGAACTTTCAACATCCAGAACTTCATGCTGTGTCTCCTGTAAGAGCTTTTCATCTCTTTTTGAGGGGATGAACTTTGCTGACAACATTTCATTTCTTGGACACAAATGTTGAAGCACTCAGAATCCCAGTTTGGGCCCAAAGCAAATTCCAGGCCTTGTTTCCCCTCATGGGGAGGTCGCAGCTCTGTCATTTGGCTCCCTCCAGTTATTCATGGAAATTTTCACATCCAGGACTTCAGGCTCTGTCTCAATTCTTAGAAATGTCTTTGCTGTAAAGGAAGATCTCACCTTTTGCTATTTCCTTGGGATCTGCAGAGTTCCCTTCCCTCTCAGGCCTGCCTGAACCATCTCCCATTTCCCATTTTGCTGGGAATTGCTGCCCAGACTCATCTTCCCCTCCCAAAATCCTGATTTGGCCAGCAGCCTTGTGCTGAGGGCAGAAATTGTTCCTCATGAAAGGAAAAGGGAGGAGGAGAGGAGAGCAAGGAGAAACACCAGCTCCTTACTATGCAAGGCAGCTCTGGTCCAACCCCCTTCCCCACATCCTTTAAAAAAAGAGCAAGAAATTCAAGCAGACAAAGAGAAATGTCATCTTCAGCCTCTGTTTTGATAATAACCCCGGCGACGTCGCAGATTGCTTTGGAAACCTTCTCTTCTAACAAAATCCACATTCTCAGCGTGTCCTTTCTGGCATTCACTTCCATTTCATCCATCCAACTGCAAATGAGCTGGGTTTTTAATTACTTTCAGCTGACATAGCACCCAGTGAGTCAGGGAGGCTGGCATGACTTGCAACCAGCAGCTTGCTTGTTATTAATTATTAGAACACTGTAATTAATAAATTGTGCAGCTCCTTGGCAGGGCTCTGCAGCCTCTGTGTCTGAGGCCAGAGGATGAAAGCATGACCAGTCCAGAGGAAGAAAAATTTATTTTTCCAAAACATTCCCAATGCCTGTAAAGGTCAATGGAAAATCTGGAGGATTTTTTTATTTTTATTTTTTAAATTCAGGCTTCAGGAAGAGAAGTGGATGAACTTTTGCTCCCCTGCCATGGGTGATGTTCATCAGTGGGGTCGTTCTTCCCTCCAGCATGAGAGGAAAAGTGAGCTGGGAGCAATAAAAGCAAGCTGGAATGTGGATCCATATCGTTCTGGCAGCCAGCAGTGGAAATTCCAGCGTAATTCCAGCTATGGAAGGCCCAGTGAATGGAGCCTGTTAGCAGGACACAGCAGCTAAATGCAATTAATGCTTCCCCCTGCATCCCTGGCATGTCTGAGGGATAAACTTCCACCCTGGCTGCTCCAGGAATGTGGCTGGGTGGAAAAATTCAGGATAAATTCAGATGGGCGAGATGTGAGAGGCCTCCAGCAGGTGCCAAAGCCAAGATTTCAGTGTTTATAGCATCTGCTAAATAAAAAAATAATATTTTTTTTTTAATTGATGTTTCCTGTGGCTTAAAGGAGGGAGCAGAGAACTGTGAACTCTCAGTTCACATGAGAGCCCAGCTCCTTTATTCCTTTATCTTCTTCATTTCTTTTTGGCTGGGTGAAATCTTTAACTCCTGCTTCATTTCCCCCTGGGAACCCACAGAGGATCCCAAGCAGGATGAACAGCACCAAAAGCTCAGATGAAAGAGAGCAAGGACAGGAAAAACTGGTCCCTATCCAAGCAATTCCTGCATGTAAATAATGCTTTTTTTTTGAAATTCAGGGTGGGGGATATGAAAAGATTAAAGGAGGGGAGGAAACCTTCAGTGCTCAAAGGATTTTGGATATTCAGACAGGAGATATTTGCAAAGGTGAAGGGGTCATTTCTTAGCTGCCTGCAAAGAGAAGTTCAGGAGTTGTCTCTTCCAGGAGATTTTATCCCATCCAAAAGAAATGGAACATTAAAATTGAAGCTGGAGGCAGCAGTTGGTAGAATATTATCAGAGTATTTTGGAGGAAAAAAAAATCCACAAAGCTTTGAGCTTCACAGACTGGGATTTATTTGGTGGTGTTGATGGTGACATTCCTCCCTGGGCTGCTCAGAAAGGTGGGAAAAA